ATATAGCATATGCTGAAGTTTTTATCCTTGTTTGTGATGTCAATCTGAAAATGACGTCATTATTCAGGTACTTTTGGCGAAAAATGGTTGTCTCAGTGGAACTCGTGGAACATGTATATCTTAGAAATGCCTTTGAAGTAGCGTATGGTTAAATATGATACTTGTTATGTTGCCCGGTGAAAGCAAGTTTGAAAAGGGATGTGTTTTTAATAAAGCAATATGCTATCAAAGACCTTCAATTACAATTTTACACTTTGAAAAATACTTGAATATATCAACAATAATATAAATATCAAATACCTAAGATATTGTTTACTTTTGGATCACCCCTCGTATGCTGTGTCAAATAAACATGCATTTATAATTTCATTACAGAGGAGCAACAGTTGAAAAGGCATGAAATCATTCAGAGTGGGTTAGGAGATTTAATGAATAAATTTTTTTTCTATTTGCCCATATTTTCAAATTTACAATTTTACAAAGTAAAAAGAAACAAGTAAATTCAAAGAATTGTGGTCCCCCGCTTTCGGTGTCTTTGTGGGCGAAATATTATTTTTTAGGTTCAAGGTCAAAAGGTCCAAGTTATTGGTATCACATGTAAAGTCTTGCCACAAAGAATATAAATATTTAAAATATGATAGTCCTTGTTTGTACCGTTCAAAAGTTGTGACCAAGGTTAAAGTTTTTAAAAAGTAGTTTAAACTCCAAGGTCAAAGGGTCAAAGTTCTTGGTATGCAATGAAAGGCCGTCTCACAGGGATTACATATGTGAAGTACGAAAGCCCTAGCTCTTACCGTTTAAAAGTTATGGTCAAGGTTAAAGTTTTTCAGAAGTACGTAAATCTCTAAGGTCAAGGTTAAAAGGTCAAAGTTGTTGGTATCCAATGAAAGGTCTTGTCACAAAGAATACATAAGTGAAATATAAAAGTCCTTGAATCTACTGTTCAAAAGTTGTGACCAATGTTATAATTCTTAAAAAGTAGTTAAAACTCCAAGGTCAAGGTCAAAAGGATAAAGTTCTTAGTATCCAAATGAAAGGTCTTTTTACAAGAATAACTTATGTGAAGTATAAAAGCCATAGCCCTTACCGTTCAAAAATTATGGTCAAGGTTATAGTTTTTTCATAAGTACGCAAGATTTCCAAGGTCAAGGTCAAAAGGTCAATGTTGTTGGTATCCAATGAAAGGTCTTGTCCCAAAGAATAAATATTTGAAATATGAAAGTCCTAGTACCTACCATTCAAAAGTTATGGCCAAAGTAAATGTTTGGAAATTTTGAGTAAAAGTTGGTCAAACTCCAAGGTCAAGGTCAAAAGGTCAAATTTGGTGGTACCCAAAGAAAGGTCTTATCACAAGGAATACACATATGAAATATGAAAATCATAGCACCAGTAAATCATAAGTTATGGGCAAGGTTAAAGTTTTTGTGACGGACAGACTGACGGACAGACGAATGAGATTTAATGTCCCCTCGCTTTCGCGAAAGCGGGGGACACAAATCAACCTATAAACATCTTTAAAAAGATGTTTGGTGGTCCTCCCAACTCAGGGAAAAATTATTGGGTCCGTATTTATAGGTGAGAAAAAAAATCCTTAAAATTTAAACAGAATTGTTGACGGAAGAAAAAGAAAAAAATATCGTGTAATGGAATGTTAAAAAAAAGTCGGGCCATTTCTAGGCAGTAGATCGGGAGAGAGGGCAACCAAATATTTTTTTAACAAGTGGTATTATAAGGCCAGTACATGTTCCATCACATACTTAGTAATGCAATTTTTTAAAATCTTTGACACTATTTTGAAAAACAAACATAGGATTTTCGGGGGAGGGGGGGGGGGGTTAGCACTCACTTTTTTTGCGATGATAGACATAGCAATAATGCAATGGACCTTTCTTTGCAAACATTGTGCTCGCTTCTAAATTTCCTAGAAACAACTCATTATATTTTATCAAGATTCGTATGTTCAATGAGCGAGAGCTTACAACGTTGTCAACATAATGAGACATGATGCGTTTGTGTGTCCAAACATTACTCCATACAATGTGTGGGTCATTGCAAAGATTCTAGCTATTTATGTGAGGTGCCTGAAGGATATCCTATAACTGCCTATTTTTTCTATCTAACTTCTAAACAAAATAGACATATGTACCAACTTTTCTCACTGGCTGCCAGCACTGTTTTTCGCTCCTGTTTATTTGTGCTTTTGGGGATTTAAATTGCTTATTTTTGGATTTATTGTGCTGGAATTTGATGTGGAGAACCTATCCAAACACTAGTGGGTGTGATTTTTTTTGTGTGTTGTGCATATTTTTTAGGATAATGTCATTTTATTTTTGACAATAGGACTAAATACCTGTGCTATTTTTAGGTCACCTGAGTAAACTCAGGTGACCTATTGCTATCTGTTTTCGTCCGTCGTCGTTCGTCGTCCGTCGTTCGTCGTGCGTTAACATTTGAACATTTTCACCTTCTTCTCTGCAACCACTGAACCAATTTCAACAAAATTTGGTACAAAATATCTATGGGTGAAGGGGAACAAAAATTGTGAATTTCATGATCCCTGCCCCCCTGGGGCCTGAGGGAAGGGGCCAAAACCACTAAAATTAGTGCAATCTTTAAAAATCTTCTTCTTTACTCCTGGACATCAAGCAGTCAAACTGTTTGCATGATTGTAATCAGCAATGAGTCCTCTACCAAAATTGTGAAATTCATGGCCCTGGGGTCAGGGGTTCTAGTGCTAGGGTGGGGCTAAATAAGTAGGTAGTGAAAATGCATTATTTCTTTGAAAATCTTCTTCTCTGCTCCTGGGTATTAAATAAACCAACTAAGTACATAGTTATGATGAGCAAGAGTGCCTCTACCAAAATTGTGAATTTTATAGCCCCAGGGTCAGGGGTTCTGGTGTTAGGGCGGGGCTCTATTGATTATATAGTGAAAATACATTAATTCTTTGAAAATCTTGTTCTCTGCTCCTGGGTATTAAATAAACTAACTAAGTACATAGTTATGATAAGCAAGAGTGCCTCTACCAAAATTGTGAATTTTTATGGCCCTAGGGTCAGGGGTTCTTGTTTTAGGGTGGGGCTCTAATATAGTGAAATGTATGAATTCCTTGAACATCTTATCCTTTGCTCTTGGTTAATATGCTAATGATCTAATTACATATCTAACGCCAGGATTTATTTTATTTTCAGTTTTACAAACCCTCCGCTCAAGGTTTTGAACTTTTAGAAAAAAATAAAACAATTTTTTTCTTTCCGATGTCAAATTTGAGTCGGGATCGAGATTTCAAATTTACGAACTCGCACTTCCGGTTTTTAGATGAAACCGCGGGTAAATAAAGCTAGATCCAAGAATTTAGCATGGTTTAGTGTAAAATTCATCGATAAGAGTGCCATTCAAAATGTTTCACCCGTTCAAAGGACAAATTAAATGCTGACGACTTTGTTGCACAGTGACATGCTGGTGAGATAATTATGTATTCGTTTCAAAAGTAACTGTAAATTATTTTCCTCCCCCAGGTTTTAAACTGCCCGTGGTAGCTATTGCATATTCCCAGGGACATTGTTTAGGTCTCTGTTATAGCTTACAGTCTAAGCATCATTCTTCAGAAAATGGTTGCTTATGCATCAGATGTAATGAATAAAACTATGGGAGAAGTGAAGTCCATTTGAGGAAGAAATAAACAATAACCTGAAGTGAAGAAATAAAAAAAAAAATTCAACTATTAAAAGGCAAGAATATACAAATATATGTAGTATCATTTGTGTCAGCCAGAAAAATTATTTTACACTTAATTGAAAAAATCTACTCCCCAATACTTCCTGTCTGTTTTAATGATAGGAATTATAATTTTAGGCATCAAATAAATTTTAGAACAATGTATACACATTCACCTAACACATATTAAGAAAATGAAGATGTATTGAAAGACTTTTAAAGAATTGAATTTTTAAAATATATTTTGATCAACATCACAAAATTTATATAACTGGCCTAAACTGGCAGATGATGAAATAAGCAATTAAATGTTCTACTTTCCTATTTGTAAGCATTATGTGTCCAGTGGTAAGGAGCCTATTAAGATAGCATAAAAAAGAATGTACAAATGTTAATAATTGATTTATCAAAAAAATTTATTTCTTTTTCCTTCGGGACTTTTTTATTCTCATGTTCATAACTAAACCTAAACATAAAAAAATGCTGGCCTTATAATGAAGAAAAGGTCCTCTTTCAAATTAGATAATTTCAGGGCTGCTGGGTCAGGGGTACCAAGGGGGTACTTTGACTAAAAATATTTAAATTAATGCTTTGAAATCTGCCCTTTGATAAGCAATGGTGCCTCTTTCAAAATTCGTGAATTTCATGGCTTTTGGCTTAAAACACTACCCAAATACACCAAATACAATCGCTGGAAAGTTGTTACATGATACTCAGGTGACCTATAAGGCCCGTGGGCCTCTTGTTAGTATCGTGGCCAATGTGTGTTCAGTCAGGTAGAAAGAATAAGACAGTGTACTCCAGGAGTGAACTTTTCAACATGTGTCACAAAGGTAGGGTATATCTGGACACAAAGTGAACACAAGATCTGGGCCTCTACTGGGTACATGTGAACCACGAGAGGTAAACGCAGTGGTGCCAGAAAACAGTGACAAATTGCAAGACGTGTTACTGTGCATGAAAATTCTGATAGTATTTCTAGGAGACAATATATACCAGCCAACCTTATCAAAATAACATCAAAAAGTCAAAGACCTATTGCCCCCTGTGCAAAACCTGTGGTTCTTTATACTCTAAACTGTAGATCAGTGAGAAATAAGACCGATTCCATCTGTGATCTTATAATATCAAATGATATTGACCTACTTGCATTAACAGAAACCTGGCTCGGGGACTCTGATCAGTGCATCATATCAGAACTCTTGCCGGATGGGTACAAATTTATTCATAAAGCGAGAAATAATGGTCGAGGTGGCGGAGTAGCCCTCGTTTACAAGAGCACCATGGATGTTAAAGCTGTGAGTAGAGAAGATACATTTACACACTTTGAATACCTGGAATGCGTCATTAACTTCACTCGCCTACGTATCATATACCGACCTCCTCCATCTAAGAAGAACCAGCTAAGGAATTCTGTCTTTTTCGACGAATGGTCCCACTTTCTGGACAGTGTGGTGGTTGATCACAGGGAATTAATTATAACTGGTGACCTCAATTTCCATTTAGATAATGTGCAGGATCCTGAGGGTGTCAAATTTCTAAGGATCTTAGATGATCATGGATTGGTTCAGCACGTGAAGGAATCAACACATTCTGGAGGCCATATTCTGGATGTGGTGATATTGAGGGATAGCAGCTCTGTCCTATATGGTGAACCGTGTGTAACAGACTCAGGGCTATACGACAAGAATGGTAACCCTGCTGGTGACCATCTAGCCATCTGCTCAAAACTCACACTATCCAAGCCGGCAAGGGAGCGTAAGTCTATTAAATTTAGAAAATTAAGGGATATTGTAATCAGTGACCTAAGCGATTCAATCCGCTCTTCTTTCGAATTACAGAAAGGCGAAAATTCGGTGGAAAAATCTGTGAATCTATGTAATACAACACTTCAAAACATTCTAGATTCTCTTGCACCTGTACAATCAAAAGTGATTACCATTCGTCCTGACTGTCCATGGTACACCAGTGAGCTAAGAGCTGCTAAGAGGGAGAGGAGAAAGGCAGAGAGACAAATGCGTAGAACTGATTTGACTGTCCACAGGGAAATCTACCGCAGTCATTGTACCCAGGTATCTAAACTTGCTATTCACTGTAAGAGGAGTTACTATTCAAGCAAAATTGTGGAGATGGGCAAGGATCAGAAACAACTGTATCGCCTTACAAACAGACTTATGGGAGCCAAGTCCGATGTTGTATTACCGGCACATCAATGTGAAGAAATGCTGGCCAACTCCTTCGGAGAATTCTTCCAGACTACGATTCAGAAGATAAGAAATGAACTGTGTAATGGTAGTAAGATAGGCTTTGATCCACTACAGGATGATAATGAGTTTACTGGTGTTCACCTGCATACCTTTGAACCTGCATCTCAAGACCAGATCCGTGCCATAATCTTGTCAGCATCTCCTAAGTCCTGTGAACTTGATCCCATGCCATCATTCTTGCTGAAATCTTGCCTTGATAGTTGCCTTGCTATGGTAACAGACATTATAAATCATTCCCTAAATCAGTCTGTTGTTCCATCATCCTTTAAGCAGGCTGTTGTTCGTCCTCTCATCAAGAAAACCGGCTTAGATCCAGAGGAGTACCGCAACTACAGACCTGTCTCAAACCTTTCCTTCCTCTCCAAAATTCTCGAAAAAGTTGTTGCTAAACGTCTTGATCATCACTTAGAGTCAAATTACCTTCATGACAATGTACAATCAGCATATCGCCCATGTCACTCTACTGAAACAGCTTTACTTAGAGTCCATCACGATATTGTTGCAGCTCTAGATTCTGGTTCATGTGTGGCATTAATTATGTTAGACCTATCTGCAGCTTTTGATGTCATCGACCACTCCATTCTGATAAATCGACTAGAAATTGGTTTTGGCATATCTGGCTCGGCCCTCGCATACACATAAAATTGCTATTGGATCTTCTTTTTCCAGGGACTACCATCTTAGATGTGGTGTACCACAAGGATCTGTGTTGGGTCCAAGGTTATATTCCATTTTTTCCAGACCTATTGTTAACATATGTTCCAAAAACAACATACACCATCATTGTTATGCTGATGATACCCAAGCTTATCTGGTCTTTAAACCCAGGAACAACTGGAATAATACCGCTTTGAGACTCGAAACATGCCTGGAAGAAATCAAGCAGTGGATGTGTTCCAACATGCTAAAACTAAACCAGGACAAAACAGAATTTATAGTTTTTACTCCGAAACAACAACTCAAGGAGTCTCCATCCTACCATCTGAACTTTAGCGACACCATCGTGAGAGAGGCGACCAGTGTAAAGAACCTCGGGGTGTGGTTTGATAAGTCTCTTAGCATGCAAATGCAAATTTCCTCAGTGTCTCGTGCATGCTATTACCAGCTTAGGAACAATGGGAGAATACGTCCATTGATTACAGAGGATGCCTGCAAGACCCTGGTCTGTTCTCTGGTGAAATCTAGGCTCGACTATGCCAACGCTCTCCTCTATGGCATAAATACAACCGAAATAGCCAAAGAACCACGAACGATAGTATTGTTCTCCCGCCTAGCTCTAAGTCAATTTTCAAAAGTTAACATATTTGAATGATTTTCAGAATTTTTATAGATATTTAGATGAATTTTCATAAAACGTTACTTTTTTTGAGATACCAAAGAAAGATAACTCTATAATTATGGTAAAACTTGAATATTTCACTATAGAAATCAATGGAAAACGGAAAATATTTTTAAAACATCTTTCCCCCCCATGAAACAAAAATTTCTTTTTACAAGTAATATAGACTGTCATTTTACAAATTTATGCCAAAGCTTTTTGTGTTTCACGGGGGGGGGAACATATGTTTATAGACAAAAAACGAAAAAAAAGTTGATTTTTCACCAATTTTAAAGCTATTTACAACTAAATAATTGTATTTTAATAATTTATATAATTATGTTTTATTTATTTGTGTACAGCATAAGAAAAGATATGAAATACATTTAATCATATTTAAGACTATTTCAAAATAAAGTGATTCTTGAAAGTTCGATTTCACTAGAAAATATCGTCTACCCCCCTTTTTTGAGAGCTGAAATTAATGATCATTAACTATCTAGAGCTGGAATTAAAATGATTAATCAATTACCATAGAACTGTTCTTTGTACTAATCCAAGATTTAATGGGCAAATTGCCATTAAAATTGAATTTAAAGGGTGCAAAATGTAGGCGGGAATCAAGAGTTAGAGTTCGTGGTTCTTACAAAGAATACAGAACACATAGCACGCATTATTACTCGGTCCAGGAAGAGGGAGCATATTACTCCGATCCTTGTTTCCCTTCATTGGCTTCCAATTGACAAACGCATCCAGTACAAAATTCTTATTTATACTTACAAAGCAATCAACAACATAGCACCAAAATACATTGCAGAGCTCATCAACGTATATCAACCTGGTCGTTCCCTTAGATCGGCAAACAAGCTGTCACTGCAAAGACCACACTGTCGAACATCAACCTATGGGAATAGACGTTTTGACGTGGCCGCTGCATCTCTTTGGAACTCTTTACCTCCACATCTGGTTTTATGCCCATCTTTGAACACTTTTAAAAAACATCTGAAAACTCATCTTTTTAGGGAAGCATACGGTTAAATTTTTATTTTTAAGTGTTAAATATAGACTGTTTTTATTTATTTATTTATTTATTTTTAAAGATTTCTGACTTTAAATTTTTGGTTAATTTTAATCTTCTGAAATTTCTTATGCTCTATTGTATGCAGTTTTATCTTTTCGTGTTTTGATATCGTTTAATCATCATTTTGCAAAAATATTTTTAATTTTTAAAATGGTTATCAATACTGAATTTTATTTTCTTATGCTATTCAACAATTTTTTTATTCCTAATGTTGTTTTAATGAATGTATTTTTACTATGTTGTACAGCGCTTTAGAGTAATTGTGTTTATTATATAAGGCGCTCTGTAAATTTTGTATAATAATAATAATGTAAAATATGTAATTACAATTTATTTTTCATGCACTGCATATTGTTTAACATTTTCAAATTAAATGCTAAGCATCCTCCTTGCAGTGCCCTATTTGAAAATAACTTCTATCGCCACAGAAAAAAGGCCAACCGTAAACACATATGCTTAGGACATTTTTATCTTTTTAAAGAAACCGAAAAATTATCAAGACTTGTTCCATAAAAATTAAATAAAATCATGGTAATAAACGGATTTATCCACAGCAGATATATGCTCATGCCAACCATGTGCTTAGTGGAATAATATTAACGAGGAATTTCGATTTGTTAACAGAACAGTTTTTCCCGATTTGCTGGAGTGAGGTTAAAATCGCGTTTTTTCATTAATCAGACGATGCGATGCAACAAATAAAAGCAGTAAGTAATATTACCTAATGATTATTACTTAGTAATTTCTTGTCTTGATGTTATTATGGTCGCATTTATTCTAAAATCATTGTTATTTGAACTCTGTGTGACAGAGGAATGGCGGACCAAAATAAACACATGGCCTCAGGAAGACACCCATATGAAAAATCAAATTTTCAAGAATTATGGGTAATGACAAGAAAGAAACGAAACAAATGATTGTAGCCATATTATCAATGAATCAAACTAACTCCATTTTCAATGCATTTTTCATCTCATGAATGCTGTAGCTGCGCAGTTCTAACATGATTAATTTTCTTCTAATTAAGACAAAATAAACTTAATTGTTTACTAATTCTGGTCTCTAACAGTAGGTAATTAGTGCATTAGCACTTTGAGTGACTTTGGGCTAGTTTAGTAGAGTATTAAGCGCATTCTTGGTATTTCTTAGTTTACACCAGACTAGATCCAATTTGGCTTGTACATCCCCCTTAAACTCATGTGGAAGCATCCTCAGGTAGTGTAGATTCAAGTTGGTACAAATCATGACCCCCAGGGCAAGGGTTGGGCCAAAATGGCCGACCAAAACTTTACATAGGAATATATTGGAAAAATCTTTAAAAATCTTCTTCTCCAGAACCACTGGGCCAGGAAAGATGAAACTCATGTGGAATCATCCTCAGGTAATGTAGATTCAAGTTTGTTCAAATCATGACACCCAGGGCAAGGATGGGGCCAAAATGACTGACCCTAGTTTAACATAGGAATATATAAAAAAAAAATCTTCTCAAGAACCACTAGGACAGGAAAGATGAAACTCATTTGGAATCATCCTCAGGTTGTGTAGATTCAAGTTTGTTCAAATCATAACCCCTGGGGCAAGGGTGGGGCCAAAATGGCCAACCCAAGTTTTTCATAGGAATATATAAGAAAAATCTTTAAAAATCTTCTTCTCCAGAACCACTAGGCCAGAAAAGATGAAACTCATGTGGAATTATCCTCAGCTAGTGTATATTTAAGTTTGTTCAAATCATAACCCCCGGGGCAAGGATGGGCCAAAATGGCCGACCCAAGTTTTACATAGGAATATATAGGATATATCTTTAAAAATTCTTCCCCAGAACAACTTGGCCAGGAAAAATTAATATTAAACTTATGTGGAATCATCCTCAGGAAGTGTAGATTCAAGTTTTTTTTTCAAATCATGACCCCCGGCCATGTTGATAGGGTGGGGCCAAAATGGCCGACCCAAGTTTTACATAGGAATAATATAGGAAAATTCCTTAAAAATCTTCTTCTCCACTGAGGTATATTTTTAAAAAATTATTTTCCAGTTTACATTATAATCCAAAAATAGTTTATAATGATAACATCAGGAAGGTTACTGTAATTCATTGATGCCTCAAAGTCTGGATGAAATAAGAAAAATGTTGAAGACTTTCTTTGAGCAGAAGGACAAACAAAATTCTAATGAAAAGGGGGTAAATACGAGGGTTGTCCCAAAATTCCGTAGACAAGCGTTGTTTTGTAGGAACCCTACGTCATACATGAATGAAACTTCGTACATAGATTAAACAAACACTATCTAATAAATTTATGGACAAATATAGAGTAACTACACAAATTATTCCAATTTAAAAGACACATTTCATTGTCTGGTGTAGGAAGGCGGCGCAATGCACAAAAGTTGCATTTAAAATTTGGTATATTATATTTAAAATCCTACGGAAAAGTAATTACTACCCCATAATTTTTAAATGGAAATGAAAATTCTTAATTTTGTTTATTAACTATATTTCCTCAAATTTTGGTGTGTATGCTTTGATAAATATGAATTTTATAGCGTTTTATATACATGGGGTTAAAATCCGAATTTTTTAAAAATGGCGGCTGCGTTGGCCCAGGCGGCGCACTGGACTATGATCAAGTGTTTTGATCCTGAATTCACTCTTACAGAAATGTACCAGTCATAAATGTTTGGTAGACTAGGAAACTTTTTCTCCTCCTTAGTATTTAAAATGACTAAAACGGGTTCTCTATGTATATGTCAATAACAGTAATTAAAATAAAAGACAGGGTTAAGAAATGGGCAAGAGTTCCATTGTGCAAATCCATTAGAGAATATAGAGGAAAAGCCCGTAGAAATATAGCGTTTTGAAATTATATTTATTTCATACCCGTACATGCATATACTTTGTTTACATATTTTAATGCTTGATCATATCATAGTAATTAAGATATTTTACATTTATAACTATAACCGTTTCGTTAATTTAAGAATTTGATTCTGGTAATTGAAATATTTTCTCAAAAAAATTGAACCGTTGACATTTGTATTTTTTGACGTTGCAGATTGCTCCGGGTATTAGAGAACTATATCACTTAAAATGTTAGTACACGAAAAGTTTTCAAGTAAACATGATAAAACATCGTAGTTTATCTGCCAAGAACACGCTTTATCCACCCTGAAAATTTTATAAAGATACATTAATTTTTTAAAAAGATATGAGCTCAGTCTACGAAATTTTGGGACAACCCTCGTATG